TATGTATGTATATATGTGTGTGTGTGTATGTGTGTGTGTGTGTGTGTGTGTGTGTGTGTGTGGTGTGTGTGTGTGTGTGTAAAGTCATAAATTTAATGTAAAGATAACTCATATAAATTGTATTTAATTCACAGCATTTAAATATCGATGTTTGATATATTATATTTTTTAACTATTTTATTGAATAAAAAAAGAAATAATACTTAAAGATATATTATATAAATATTTAATTTAATATTGTAGATTATTTTTTAAAAATTTCGCAATATAATAGAAAAATAGTCATATGTATGTAAAAGGATTATGTAAAAGTTAAGTAAAATAAATAAACATATCAGTGTAGAAAAGTAATAATAATTTGTTTATTCTAATTAATCTCCAAACTAGAAAAACAAAGTTATGGTGTCTTTTTTCTTTGGAAGAATAAAAAATTGATTAATGCTTACATTAATGATTACATTTAAAAGAACATATATCGATAATGTATTACGTAAATATTAAAATCACACAATGTAAAAAATTAATGTACGTGATTGGAAAGAAGATGATAAAGTGCTATTAAAGCTACAAAAATGAAATTAACAGTGACTGCACAAGAACCATTGCACGTTTCTACGTGAGTGAAAAGTTCTTTATAGGCAAGCACTGACTCCTTCGTCGATGATGTGGAAACCAAACCAGCTGAAGAATCTTTAAAGAGAAGATTTAATGTCCTGTTGAATGGACCATAAATATGAATTGGTCTTCGAACATTAGCGCGATATCCTAGCCAATTTTCCATTTTTAATAAGGCCAGAATAGTATCTAACTCAGTGATTTGCTCGTCTTTATTCTTGCGACCAACAACCTGGAAGGATATTACAATTTGTATTAATGCAAAGTAATGTTAAACATTAACGTTTACATTATATTTGGTCAGTATGATATCTTAAAATTTATATTTCTGTTTTACATCAGCATAAATATGCATCATTATTTTCATATACATAAATCTTTTATATTTAATTGATAGTAAAATAATATATAATTATTCAATTGGTAATATTACGAATTTTTTAAATATTTTAACAAAAATATTTTATTTCTTGATTTCTTCATTGAAAATATTCATCAAATAACATAAACTATAAAAAGTTACAGTGCATTGTATTTTAAATAATAAATTAATCTAAACATTAAATAGTTTCTAAACAAATCATTTACCTCGCTGTCAATTGTTATCGATAGTGCACAGAATTTGTCAAAATTAAATCCTGACTTATCGGCCAGACTTCCATTTTTGCACAAAATACGATACGTATGTTGGTCGACAATATGATCTGTATAATAATAATAATTTAATAATTATTAACTGTTAAAAATAATGCATTATATTTGGAATTTGTAAATAGAGTGTTTTTTTAAAATAAAAGTTACAAGAATAAACATCAGAAAAATAAATTTAAAAAATATTGTGTATTCAGATCCAACAAAAGAGAAAATTTTAAAAGAATAATAATATATATATATATATATATATATATATATATATATATACTGTTAAATATTGATTTTTTTAAATGAAAGAATTGATTATAAATATTTTTTTAAGTTTCTTATATATCTGTAATACTGATTGTAATACTGATTTTTTACCCTTGATATTTCCGTATTCGACGAATGCTATGTCGCCTGCTCCTTCATCGATGCATCGCATAGCTCCTTTGTCACCATAATACCGATTAGTCTCGTTAACAGCGCAGGAAGTATTATGTTGATGTCTACAACTCGAGCACAGTTTCGATGTTATGTTCGAGGAGATATGGTTGCGCGAATGATCGGTATCTTCTATTCCGGGAGTACAGGCACCAGAAAATAGTCTGGACATTAACAACGGATAATCACAGGATTTAGATGAAATAACACCGCTCACTCTAGCGGTATTGATAAAACTCAACCAGCTAATTCCACTGTACTCGGGGAAGCATGCCCTTTTACCCTTTAAATCTTGGAAGCCTGTTATAGGATAATTGTCGCCTTTAGGCTCAGGCACTATTGCAAGGATAATGCTATTCTTATCATCTTCGGTTTCGCTATATAAAATCGTTGACAGTTTGTGAACTCTGTAAAATAGAAATGTTACAAACAATATTATAATGAACTTTTTGTATATATATATATAGAGTATTTTTTTCGATTAGTTTTATCTATATTTAAAATTTTCTGCTTACGTTCGTGCCAAGTAACCATAGTTGGAATCAATGACGATTATGTCTGTTCGATTTTCTTGTATATCACGGAAACATTGAAATGTAGAGTTTGACTGGATGCAAGAAATGCTCGGTGCTATACCAAGAGCCCTTACCGCTTTCGCTACCCATTTGCACTTGATAGTCTCTTCACGGCTAATTGTACACCAACGAATACTTTTGCCACAGGTTTTAATATTATCGAGCACAATTTCTCTTCCTTTACTCAAGTACGTAATTGCAGATGTCTTTTCCGGTAATTCAAAAGCCCAGCTATCTTCTTGTATAATTTTACTTAAATCATAATGCCAAGATTGTGAGCGATTTCTCAACCAATCAAATAAACTAGGCTTAAGAGAATCTTCGATTTCTCTGAAAGAAAAAAAAAATAATAAATAAATAAATAAATAAATATATATATATATATCTTTTGTGTACAGAAAATATAGTTAATATATATATCCAAACAGATTTTTTGTTTAAAAAAACCTGAATAATTTATATAATTTAAATTTATATATATAATTTTTTAGAAAATAAAAGAAAAATTGTTCTCTTCCGATATAAGCATTGCAAATATTAACAATATAAATATAATAATTCCTTAATCTTCTAGAGCAAAATTTTTTTAAAAAGAAATTAAGATAAATTAGAAAAAATTTATTTTTGTTAAATAAATAGTAAATCTGTAAATAAATAAAATATAAATTTTTAAGATTTTTAAAAATAAATTTTTTCCATTTATTCCTATACTTTCATAT